TGGGGGTAAAGAGCGACCGGCGCGTAAGGCTGACATCACCGCCACCTGCGAGCCTCCTGTCTAGAACAAGGGTATGCAAACTACGGCCCGCGGGCCACATGCGGCCCGCGATGTGATTTTATCCGGCCCGCGAAAGAATTGTGCAGAAATGCGCCAATTGAAATAATTTTCCAATGAGTACTGGTAAATGTGATTCCGAGCTTATTGACCTGACATATTATACTGCAGTTCGATGGCTTAGCTGTGGAAAGGTTCTTTCGCGCTTCTTTCAGCTCAGGAATGAAACTGATATATTTCTTACCGAGAAAAACCATCACGAACCACTTTTATCAGATACCGAGGGGCTTTGGAAATCAGCATTTTTTTCTGATCTGGTGAACCATATGAACCATTTGAATTTAAAGTTGCAGGGTGAAAATAACTTAGTCTGTGATTTATTTGCANAAAATCCATTTGACTGTGATGCTGCAGATGTCCCAAGTCAAATTCAAATGGAAATTATTGAACTTCAGGAAAATTATCATATTAAAGACAAATACAAGGAAGGAAATTTGATCGAATTTTATAAATTTCTGAACTCTGAGCAATTTCCAAATTTAAAGAAATTTGCTTGTAAATTTATATCCATTTTTGGGACGACATATCTGTGTGAGCAAACTTTTTCCCAGATGAAGTATATCAAGTCGAAATACAGGGCAAATTTATCCGATGAACATTTAAAGTTGATACTTGTGATTAGCGTTTCAAAATTTGAACCTCAATTTAATCCGATTTTAAGAATGCAAAAAGAGTTCCATCATTCACATTAATTGTTTTATTATAATTTGTGATGAAAATATGAGCATTTGCTGCTACTGTCTGTTGTCATTAATACACGATTATTTATTCTCACGTACTTTGTATTTAGTTTATGAAATTCTGTGCTTTCAATAACACTCATATACCTAGAGTTATTAATTTCTCACTTTATCCGGCCCGTTGAAAGTGCTGAATTACCTAAGGTGGCCCCCGGTTCGAAAAGTTTGGAGACCCCTGGTCTAGAAAATGTGGAAGTCTCGATGTCTCACAAACCTACGGGTTTCCACGGCCTTTTACAAGGATAGCTTTACCTTCTTCTTCTTTTTACCTTGCAAAGCAGAATGATAAATGTATGTACCATTCGATTTAATATTAATGAAACCCACATTTATGTGCTCGTATTTATCTCACAATAAACAGCGATTATTTCCCTAAACAGCATTAACCGGTTGGGCTTTGTAGCGGAGACGTAATGTGTTTCCTGTGAGGTACGGACTGAACTCTGCATTCTGACCACACAGTGTATTTATGTGTTCCGTATGGTTCTCACAATAAACAGCGATTATTTCCCTAAACAGCATTAACCCACTGGTCTCTGCTATGGAGATGGAGTACTTCCTGAGGTACGGACTGAATTCACATATTAATTCGAAGATTTTCAAGCTTAGAAGTGTTAGACTGGAGAGGATTAGCTGCATTTCAGATGGTGTCTTGGCATGCCTACAGGATACAGACACACTTTGAATGGCTTCGTCTGTTGTCTGTGCTACTACAGAAACCTCTGGCGTGGGATAAACCACTCCAGCAACTGTTTACCTCAAACAGGAAATTTTCTGAGGATAATCAGGCATTACTGGGCAAACGCTAATTTGCTGCCCCGTATCTTCTGGCTGAAGTACCACTTGTCACGTAAATAACCACGAGACTCGTAAAATAAAGACTTGCTGGGAATTTCCATGTTTGATTTTGCTTCTAACAGCCTGTGCCTTTCCCACAGCTCACATCCAATAAATTATCAGCTTCTCAACAGTCAGAACCAAATTATTAAACTTCAGACGATTAAATAGAGGAGATAAAGACAGTGGGGATGGAGCGACAGACATTATATTTGAGGGGGGGGGGAGGCAAACTGAATCTCCGCTTTTGAAAGTTCCCAGACAGTTCCCGTTCGTCCTTCTGCTAGAGGTAATCCATATGATTGGAATTGTTTTTATGGCGTTGGAAGGCTTGCATTACAGTGAAATTTGATATAGCATTGGAAGAGCTACTTTAGGGCGAAATTTTGTTGCTGCCATTGGAAGGGCTGCATGTGAGGCAAGCAGTTCACTGTGAAAATTTGGGTACAAACTCAGCATTTGCTCTAGGACCGAGGAAAACCACAGAAAACTGAGAAGACTAAACGAGAGAGAGAGAGAGNATAGAGCAATGCCTCACATGCAGCCCTCCCATTGTTAACATCAAAATTTCGCCTTAATATAGCCCTCCCAACGTTAGCAAAAACTAAAACAAAAAATAAATAAAAAAATCCCATCATATGCTCCATCTTTAGCAGGAGAAGACTAAAGTTAACTAAATAATATACCCAAGTTCAGTTCGTACCTCACAGGAAACACTCCGCCTCCATAAAAAAAAACAAACAAACCGGTTAATGCTGTTTAGGGAAACAGTCGCTGTTGATTATGAGAGCCAAACGGAACACATAAATAGAGAGAGAGAGAAGAAGTGGGGGTGGTAGTGAGAGACACTACATTGGGGGGGGGGGGGAGAAACGATATCTCCCGCTTTTGAAGGTGCTCA